GAAAAGATACGAGTTTAAACAAAATGTATTTCAATTTTAGCCTGAAATCTGAGGTGGAGTTTGTTTCTGCTCTGACTATCATAGTCTGGATCTACCAAGTTTGAAACAGCGGCGTTTGGACAGATGTGGAGGAGACAGAGTGAAAGGTTTAAAGACAAGCGTTTTATCAAACTCTTCTTCTCACACTCTAATTGGTCGAACTCGTTAATGGAGCAGAGTAAAGTGTTGCTTAAGTGCTTGTGGAGAGAGTATTAGTTGGGATTTAAGGCGGTAATGAGGAGATGGGTCACTGGCAGAGCCTCCTTAAAGAGTGGAGTTAGTAAAGCTCATGGGAAACACTACAGTCGAACATAATTCAGTGATTTACAGATGACAGTTTGAATCATGTTGTCTTGATGCTTGTGATTTACACACTTCTACATTGTTTTTTCAATTGAATTTGTCCATAATGTGCTTGTTCTGGTCTCTAATAGACTGTAATAGAATTGAAAAAAAAAATGCTGAGGGGAATCCCTCCTGATGACTGCTGCTGGCAGACAATCAAATGCTTTAGGTGCATCTTGTCGTACTTCAGGTAATTTTCACTTACACTCTGCCTTATCTCCTGTTCTGCTCCAGACAAAGCAGTGCTTTAACCTCAGTCATTCTCAGTTTTAATTCAAAATCAATAGCCGACAGCTCGGAAGGCCCCTGAAGCAGAGAGGATAATGAGAGTGTAATAGTGAGATAAGTAACGAGCTCGGCCATCAATACCTGCTCTTCTCTGTGGGACCAGAGCGTCATTCAGAGCAGTGTGTTCCCTTTGGTATTTAAAGAGGCTGTGTTTCTGGTGCTGGAGGCTGCACATAAACATGGGTTAGCGTTAATAGAATATTTTAGATATTATTTCATGACGACTTTTGTCTATTGATGGATTTTTGTTTTACTGTGTTTTAATTACAACATGCAATATGCAACCTACAACAGCAGCATCTTGGCAATAAACAGTGGTTTTAATTATTATAAAGGTCAAATCGTTGAATAAAACAGTAACATGTATCCCCTTTAAGATTTGAAGGAAGTGTCTGGGGATGGGGAAGTCTGAGCCATGGGTGTAAGCTTTAACCTTGTCCTTAATAAGCAGAAGACAACGGTTTGGTTTTTGCCCGTGAGAGTTTTAATGTTTGTAAAAGTTATTTTTATAATTATTGGAATTTACTCAAAGATTAGTAATATAAATACAAATACCAATAAATATACACAAAGAAGAATGTCTTAGAATAAATATATTATGTGAAATATTTAAGATATTTAAAATGTTACTAATATTTATATTGTCTATAATAGTTACAATATTTATAATGCATTGTTAGCGCAGTCTACACGTTTCTCCTGACCCGTGTGTGAGTGGCTAAAACTGTCTGGAGTTTATGTGTTCATGTGAACAGATTATAAGTATTTATTGAATGTCAGTTTTTGGCCAAACTCTGCTTTAACTGAAGCTCACTTGAATCTGACCTAAAGCTGACCTGTAGCTGACATCATCAGGCTTTTATACTAAAATGACTTAAAATAATTCTGGGTAATCCCAGAATGCACCTGTGCAGCCTAAGATTGTCCATCACATGAGGCATGTGTTTCTACTAATATTTACGGTTTTTCTAGTATTGACAGTCTATAGTTTCTACAGATCTCTCATTTTTGCAGCCCACAGAATGTGGTTTTAAGAGCCACGCGTCTGACCTCTGTGTCGCCTATGTGCTGCTGCATTCCTTTTCATCATTACTGACCTTGTGCTCATGAGCCTCGCACCTCCATCATTACTGACCTTGTGCTCACGAGCCTCACACTGGGACTCGGGTCTAAGGGGATTAAAGGGAAGCTCTTTTGTCTATGGAGATTTATCAGCATTAGCCAATAGCATGTTAATTGTGACAGCGCTGCAGCTGTCAGTGACATGCTAGCACAGACACAACAGCTAACTCGATTAAATACATGCGGGTTGTAACCGTGGCAACGTTACAACCCACAACTGATGGAAGACGATTAGAATGATGTGAACCTAAAAAAGACTTTTCCAACTGTTGTTTTATATAATTATTCACTTTGCAAAAAACAACTGTAACAAATTATTGTGTTGTAATCATTGTTTAAAACAGTGCTCACAAAATCTCAACAGCAGTCGTCTCAAGGGGCGTCATAGAATTGTCGATTTGTCAACAGAGGTTAAGAAAACCAAACATTTAGAACTAGTTAACTAATGCCTGTAACTGTCCGTATCACCCCCACCCCCCCACAGGACAGGGGTGACTTGCGTCATGCTGCGTTATGGGCTACAGCTACAGCATCGTCATAAAAACCAACAAAGGGAAGTGTGGCGTATGTACATAACTCTGTATGTTCAGGACTGCAGCCCCTACGCCAGCCGCGCTTCAAGAATCAATCTTTATTAAAAAAGGATAAAACTGAAGAATTGATTTAATGAATGCGGCCTCATGTCCTGCAGCCACATGTAATCCTCAGAGAACCATCGAGCGCAGCGCAGGGGACACCGGCGCTGGTGGAAGTCTGCTGGAGTGGCCTATAATGATAGTCTCCATATAATCCCATAATTCCTTGTTTAATTAAACTCTGGAGCTGGCCTTGAGACGCTGCCAGCGCTGTTGCTCTTTTGTTCTCACAGTTGTTATTTGGTGCTGAGGTCTGAGTCTTCTTTTGTCCACTCATGTTGAAGGATGAGACTGAAGCGGGTTAAAAACAGCGATCAGAGACAAAGACTGCGATGGTAGCAGCGTCATTCAGGTAGAAGAATTATAGTCTCTTTCACATCTTCCACCCGCTGCTTCATCTATCTCTCCTTCTGTCGGCGCTCCCACACTTTCTGGACGCTCATGATGCAATCCAGCTCGCCCTGGGGCGACGCTGGCACATCACTGAGCCTTGTCAATGTCTCAATGAGGAAATTATGAAAATATGAATTTTATGACATAAAATGAAAAGACCCATGTAGTTTGAATAGACGTGCAGAGGAGGTTCAAATGATGCAATTTTCTAAATTCAGTTATAATGGTAATGTGTGTTTGCTGTCAGAAATCTCCCTGTCGGCCCGGATTGTACGTCTTTGTGCTCTATCTCTGTTCCTCGAGCAAAAACTCGGAGCTGGTGAATGCCTAAAAAGTAACGTGGAATATGCACTCATTCATTTAATGACAGCAGCAGGAAGCAGCGGACTGAGGGTTTGCAGCTACATTGTGTTCTCTCTGATGCTCTTTCTGATGCGCTCTGGCTGTGGCTGTGGCGCCCAGGGCCAAAGCACTGAAAAGGCTGAAGCGCAGCAAGGTGGCCCACAAAGATTAACCCCTCTCTCCCTGCAGGACGGGCCCCGCCTCAGGGGCCCCTCTCTCAGACAGGGATTGTATTTCAGCTTCTTATACTAAATAAATATCCTCAGATTAAGATAATATTCTGCCCGCTGTATATTGACGACAGGGTCGCTGTCACTTCAATCCTCTCTGTTTCGATTGCCTTTCTTCTGAAAGCTCTGGTGCAGAGAGAGATCTCACAAACATTAGAACAGAGAGAGATCTCACAAACACTTGAACAGAGAGAGATCACCTTCTCTGTGTGTGTTTCATGTATAAAGCCACGGAACAAAGACAGAGATAAGAAACTTGACCAGAAAAGAAGGAAAGCTTCTTTTTGTGAACGTTTAAAGGACACTGTTTAACTTCTCACCACAAAATCACCATATGTAAATAAGGAAATGGAGACAACTGAATTTAGGTGCTGCAGGGGTCTGCCTGTGTTATAGCCCTAAACGGAACAGAGGAGAAATTCCAGTGTTGCAACAGTACAGAGCCGTAGAAACACAGGAAGCATCTATATCAACAATGACAAAAGTATGTTAAAATCTCACATCTGGGAAGTTTTTCTGGGACTACAGTATTGCACTGTTACTACAGTATTGCACTGTTACCACAGTATTGCACTGTTACTAAAGTATTGCACTGTTACCACAGAATTGCACTGTTACTACAGTATTGCACTGTTACTACAGTATTGCACTGTTACTACAGTATTGCACTGTTACCACAGTATTGCACTGTTACCACAGTATTGCACTGTTACTATAGTAATGCACTGTTACCACATTATTGCACTGTTACTATAGTAATGCACTGTTACCACAGTAATGCACTGTTACCACAGTATTGCACTGTTACTACAGTATTGCACTGTTACTACAGTATTGCACTGTTACTATAGTAATGCACTGTTACTACAGTAATGCACTGTTACCACAGTATTGCACTGTTACTACAGTATTGCACTGTTACTATAGTAATGCACTGTTACCACAGTATTGCACTGTTACTATAGTAATGCACTGTTACCACAGTATTGCACTGTTACTATAGTAATGCACTGTTACCAAAGTATTGCAATGTTACTACAGTATTGCACTGTTACTACAGTATTGCACTGTTACTATAGTAATGCACTGTTACTACAGTATTGCACTGTTACTATAGTAATGCACTGTTACCACAGTATTGCACTGTTACTACAGTATTGCACTGTTACTATAGTAATGCACTGTTACCACAGTATTGCACTGTTACTATAGTAATGCACTGTTACCACAGTATTGCACTGTTACTATAGTAATGCACTGTTACTATAGTAATGCGCTATTACTACAGTATAGCACTGTTACTATAGTAATGCACTGTTACCACAGTATTGCACTGTTACTAGAGTAATGCACTGTTACCACAGTATTGCACTGTCACTGCCGTATTATACCGTCACCTTAGTATATCACTGTCACTGTAGTATTGCTCTGTACTATATGGCACATTATTAGTACAAATTTGTAGTACTTCACTACACTATTACTATTATATTGCTCATAATTACTCCAGTATTGCACATCGTTATCTAGTTTTGTGTAATATTTCAATCGATTTGTTTGTCCAACATGCCCAAACGCTTCTGTAACTCTGCCCCCTCCTTTGCAGGTAGCCGCACAGATGAGGGCTCGGATGTGGATTCGGAGCCTGACTTGCCGCTGAAGAGGAAGCAGAGGCGCAGTCGCACCACCTTCACCGCGGAGCAGCTGGAGGAGCTGGAGAAGGCCTTCGAACGCACACACTACCCAGACATCTACACCCGCGAAGAGCTGGCCCAGAGGACCAAGCTAACCGAGGCCCGGGTCCAGGTGAGAGGGACTCACTGATGGATGTGATAACCTGCTAGCTCAGTGCTAAACTGCTAGCTCAGAGGTGTCAAACTAATTTTGGTCAGGGGGGCGAATAAATAAACTAGTCAAAGGCCGAAAGAATCGCAGGCCTTTTCTTATAACTGTTTTTTAATATATGAAGGTATTTTGACAGGATATTAATGTGACATAAGTTTCAATATTATTTTCTGGTAGATTTTTCTGAAAAAAAAAAACATTTAGATTTTACCAAAACTGAACTAAATTTAAAGTTAAACACAATACAATTTATTCTTGTATAGCCCTAAATCACAACAGAAGTCATCTCTGAGGACTTAACCGTTTGTGCACTGACCATTTTCACAATCTATGGTTTAGTGCTCTCTTGTGATATATTGTCTCTCTAAATCCAGATATGAGCTATATGAGGATTGACCAATCAGAACCTTTTGTCCCCAAGTTCAGCTTAGGCTGTGAGTAGTAACAGACAAGCACCGCTCTTGATTGGCTCTTTGGTTGCTATTGCTTCGTTGTAGTTTCAGCCTGAGTTTCAGCTCGAGTGAGCGCTGCCAGAGACAGGAGCTTTGACACAGAAGGGGCAGAACTACATGTTTGCACCAGTTCCTGACCACAGCTTGGATGAATCTAAACACAACCTCAGGTCTTTGACGGAGGAGGGACAGTATTGCTTAAGTTGAATAGTTTGAATTTTGCTTGAGACTCCCAAGTCTGTCTCAGTCCTCTCTCCTCTCATGTCCTCTCCCCTCTGTCTCAGCCATTGTGTCCTCTCAGTCTCTTCCGTGTCTCCCCTCTATCTTTCCTGTGTCTTCCCTCTGTCTCCCCCATGTCTTCAATCCATCTCCCCTGTCTCCCCTCTGTCTCTCGCCCCTCTGTCTTAGTCCTCTCCCCTCTGTCACAGCCCTTTCTCCTCTCTATCTCAGCCCTCTCTCCCCTCTGTCTTAGTCCTCTCCCCCCTCTGCTTCAGTCCTCTCCCCTCTGTCTCAGTCCTCTCTCCCCTCTGCTTCAGTCCTCTCCCCTCTGTCTCAGTCCTCTCCCCCCTCTGCTTCAGTCCTCTCCCCTCTGTCTCAGTCCTCTCTCCCCTCTGCTTCAGTCCTCTCCCCTCTGTCTCAGTCCTCTCTCCCCTCTGCTTCAGTCCTCTCCCCTCTGTCTCAGTCCTCTCTACCCACCGTCTTAGTCCTTTCCCCCCTCCTCTTCAGTCTTCTCTCCTCTGTCTCAGCCTTTCTCCCATCTGTTGCTCCCGTGTCTCTCTCCCTCTGTCTCAGTCCTCTCTCCCCTCTGTCTTAGTCCTCGCCCCTCTGTCTCAGCCCGTGTCTCCCCTCTGTCTCTCCGGTGTCTCTCTTCCTCTCTCAGTTCTCTCTCCCCTCTGTCTTGGTCCTTTCCCCTCTATCTTAGCTTGTCTTGCCCCTCTATCTCAGCCCATGTTGCCCCCTGTCTCTACCGTGTCTCTCCCATGTCTCTCTCCTCTGTTTCAGCTTGTGTCACCCCTCTGTCCCAGCCCTTGTCTTCCTTGTCTCAGTCCTTTCTTCCCTCTGTCTCAGTCCTCTCCCTGTCTTGGTCGTGGGCTGATAGGGCTTTACCTCGGCCTGTCAGGATCCGTACAGTAGAGTTATAGCAGCAGCTGTTGGTGTCGGAGGAAAAGCAGCACATTCCTGATGGATTCCTCATCTGGGTCGTCAGCCGGGGTCTCATCCCCGGCACTTTCAAGCTGGCCGCGGCTTGTAAAACCTTCCACTTCTCACACAGGGCTCCTCGTCCTCTCCCGGGACCCAGACCCTGACCACAACATGAATCAATCAGGCGCTAGTAAAGACCGGCAGGTCTGGGGCAGCTCTCACCACATCAGTCAAACTCGGGATGTCCACGCAGCTCACCGCTCGGGTCATCCACGCCACTTGCCAAATGTTCATCTACAAACATCCAGCTCGGGAAAAACAAAACCACAACATCACCATGTGCAGTCCCAGGTGTCAGTCTGCTCAGTCTCAGGTGTTGGTCTGAGAGCAGGGGTGGTACAAAAGTGTGATGATAGAAAGTGGATAAAAGGCGAATTAAAGCTGGGGTAACTTTCAATCTACAAACTAAGAAGCTGCATAATAACTCCTTATTTCAATTTTCATGTGCAGCTTTAAATCAGCTTTTTATCAACAGAGGTTAATAATATATATCAGTATTGTTCTATGATTGTGTTGTTGTATGGTTGTGTTGTGTGGCCATAGAAGTGTTGCAGCGCACATACAGGATAGCAGTAGGAGCACACAACATATACAATACAAGTAGCTGTAACGCTTCTTAAAAAGCTGTAAAGGCGTAATAAGAGCAGCAAGGGAATATTTTCAGTGCGTGTTTTCACACACTGCAGGTCTCACAGGGAAACACTGAAGACATGTGTGTTGCTTGTGTTGTGTGTGTTGTCTCCCATAGTATATCAGGATCATGTGACTTAAATGATGTCACATGCAGCACTGTGGAATGTGAGTCATGTTATAATGAGTTGATGCACTTTTCCTCCTGATCTGATTTGAAGACTTTGAAACGTTTAAAAAGGTCATCGAGAAAACTGAATTATAGAAGAGGCGCAAAGAAAGGAGCAGAAGCCAAAACAAACCAGAGAGTTTACCATTCAATTACAGCAGATCATACTGAGAGTAACGGAGAAAAACACTGACCAAACCATAGACTTTGAGTATTCTCCTCCGTTACTCTCAGTGAACGGATCCAGTGAAAAACATTCATTATTATTGTCACATCGTGACGTTTGTGGAAAGTGCAGCAGCTGAGTCCGAGTCCGAGTCGAGGAGAGAGCAACTGCACAACAGCTGCAGTGACGCATCCTCCAGATGTCTGCAGAGAGAAGCAGGGATGGTCCAGGGTCTGGGGGGGTCCATGGGGGCAGGGGGGTCCATATTTCACCCCACATTTGGCTCCACAGTCATGCTCCAAATGTTTAAACACTGGCCATTACACACAGTGATAATGTGGGAATCTTCTGAGGCCAAGCAGAAAACCTCTATTTGCAAGAAAGCTTAAGTAGGAATTATAATATTTTTAATATATATAGATATACATATATATATATATATATATATATATATATATATATATATATATATATATATTTATATATTTATCACTCACTCAGCTCTCAGCCCAAAGAGGAAGATAGGAAGCCTACTGAAGATAAGCATCTAATAAGCATCTTGTGGTTTGATTTGTTGACTTTTTACTTTCCCTTGTCTCCATCGGTGGGACAAACTACATGTAGTATTATTGCCAAAACAAGTCAGGTACCCCAGCTTTAAGGCTGTATTCTGGGGTTCCCCAACATTGTGAGGACTTTCTCCACATTCAGAAGATGCTAAAGTTGTGATAATTGCTCATATAGAGCCTGATCCGTTATGCCTGGAGCGCCGAGAGTGAAGTCCATCAGTCGTGTCTTAGATCTCACAAATGAAACAAATTACATCGAGAATGAAGTTTAGACCGTCTGCTCATCATCGTCTGCGCGCTGCGATTGCCGCATAGATCCTCTTTCATTCCCAATAAACATTCTGCATGTGGCTATTATAGCAGGCGCAATCTAATAAGGTATAAGCATTGGTCTTTCTATGAGCCATGAAATCAATTTGGTAAAAACTTTCTCTCTTCATCTGAGGCCTGTTGATGCGCGCGCGAGCAGGGAGAGACTGCACGTTCTTCAAATGCCCTATTTTAAGAGCAAACATACGGTGATAATAGTTTGAAAGCCAGTTTGTAAGAAAGCTGCTCAGAAAATAATCCAATAGGGCGGCATAAGTACAATTTCCTGATATCTGTCAAGTACTAGCGGCAAGAGAGAGAGTCACAATGACACGTAAACCCACAGGCAGCGCGTCCCCTGTGAGCCCGTTTGTGTCGTTTTTTATAAAGGAATAAATAGGATTTGTGTAGAAATTGTTGCTGCGCGTAAGAGTGAATGTTCTAACAGTTTTCTTATTATTAGAATTTAAATGACTTGGGTTCTGTACCGCTGATACTTATCAAACTAATCCCACTCTTCTCAAATTCACACTCCTAGCTACTTTAATTAGCATACTGCCAGTCTCGAAGGCAGCAGCAGTAGGGGAGGGGATGGGAGGAGGGGGGGTGGTAGGGGGTTGCGTGGTATATGGCAGCAGGATTTTCTGCGTTGAAGCCGTCTTGCATCAGCTCTATGTGTTTCATTTGTGGATATGAAGTCAGCGAGCGCATTCTGTTTTGTCTTTATCTCTCGTCGACGCATTCATCTAGTGAATGTTGCAAATTGGCTTCTGGAAGGCGTCACACACTGATCACTTTTCTACTGTTTGGACAAAAACGTCAGCTTCACAACACAAGGCTTTAGCCAACAGCACCACTGCCACACATGTGCAGAGATGGCTGCTGTTGAGGGAGGAGACGATGAGGCCGATGTGATGCAACAATCACCCACTTAAGCATTTGATGGTTTGTCCCCCCTCCCCATCATGTCCCTGTTCCTCCCACAACTTTGATCTCAAAACTCATTTGATTGATGATTCTGAATCTTTTAAACAGTTCTACTACCTCTTGACTGTGATCTCATGTCAAGTGTTTTTATGTAGTAATTCCGACCCATGGACCAATCATGACACAGAGCTGTTCTAATATTGCTGACTTTTACATAATTTTGGAGGAATATTATAAACAATAAGATTTGCTTTTCATGTCTCTATCCTCATACTAGGATTTACTACATATACACTATACAACAGGCTGAGAGGCCTTGTGTGAAAACTATAGAAGAAACTGTTTTAGAGCCAGAATCTAGAGACATGAGTTTCGTCTTGTCTCTTTGGTCCTCTTTCTCTGGTCCTGTCTCTCTGGTCCCGTCTCTCTGATCCCGTCTCTCTGTCTCTGGTCTCTCCCTCTGGTACTTGCTTTCTCTTCCGGTTTCTGTGGTCCTGTCTCTCTGGTCCTGTCTCTCCGGTCTATTTCTCTGGTTCTGGCTTTCTGGTCCTGTCTCTCTGGTCCTGGCTTTTTGGTCCTGTCTCTCTAGTCTCTCTCTCGGGTTTCTCTTTGGTCTCTCTCTCCGGTCCACGCTCTACGGTCCTGTCGCTCTGGTCCCGTCTCTCTCGTCCCATCTCTCTGATCCTGTCTCTCTCTCTCTGGTCCCTCTCTATGGTCTCTCCCTCTGGTCCTCGCTTTCTTGTCCGGTTTCTCTGGTCCCGTCTCTCTGGTATCTCTCTCTGGTTTCTCTTTGGTCTCTCTCTCCGGTCCACGCTCTACGGTCCTGTCTCTCTGAGCTACTGCAGAATTAAATCGGATTGAGTCGAGCTGCGTCCAAGGTGACTTTGTGATCAGGTTCCAGAGCTCTGCTTCCAATGCGCTCAGGGCCATGTGTGAGGAAGAGGAGGGAGGATGAAGATCTGAGAGGAAGAGGAGGAAGAACAGAGATGTAGAGGAGAATGAAGAACTGGGAGGAAGAGGAGGATGAAGAACTGAGAGGAAGAGGAGGAGGAGGAACTGAGAGGAAGAGGAGGAGGAAGCTCTGAGAGGAAGAGGAAGATGAAGCTGTGAGAGGAAGCCGTTTGAGAGGCTGCTTTAATTAGAGCTGTTTGGTAGCGTGTGCAAGACTCCGAGGACATAGCTAAGCCTTCAGTGGACTGGCCAAGTGTGACATCACCATAGTGCCATCTTAATGTGGAAGAAGTGGATTAGAGCTAACTCCAGATAGCTCCACGAGGATTAGAGCTAACTCATACAGGCTTCATTTGGATTAGGACAAACTTCAGCAGGCTTCATGAGGATTAGAGCTAACTCACACAGGCTCCATGAGGATTTGAGCTAACTCACACAGGCTCCATGAGGATTAGAGCTAACTCACACAAACTTCATGAGGATTAGAGCTAACTCACACAGACTTCATGAGGATTAGAGCTAACTCACACAGGCTCCATGAGGATTAGAGCTAACTCACACAGACTCCTTGAGGATTAGAGCTGACTCACACAGACTTCATGAGGATTAGAGCTAACTCACACAGACTCCATGAGGATTAGAGCTAACTCACACAGGCTCCATGAGGATTAGAGCTCACGTCAGCAGGCTGTGAACGGCAATGTAGAGACAAATGTAGCAACAGCCAAGTTACCGAGAGCCAATCAGGAGCGGCGCAGATCGGTCCCCTCTCACGCTACTTGCTGATAAAGCAAGCTTCCGATTGGTCAGTTGTTCGGGCTCATACCTTGATGAGGATCGAGTTAACAGAAAGCAAGTGTCTTCAAACTTTTGTTAATTGGAATTTTCAAAACTCAATTTTTAAAAATGTATTATTATTACTATTACTCTTTTAAATGCTGAGTTTGACTTATCTTTGGACCTAAAGTTGAATCTGAGTTGGTTACATGTTTCTGCTTGTCGTTCTGTTTCGTCACAAACGTCTGAAGTCAGGTCCCTCAGCTTTAACAGTGCTGTCGGCCATCTTAGATCCCCACTGAGTCTGAGAGATGAAAGCCGATGGGGTTGAGTGGTCTGGGTCAGAGGTCAAGTGGCACCGGGGGACAGGGCGACCGGCGGGGTGGGGTCCGTGAGCTCTCCCACTCCCCTCACCCTTCAACTCCCGCCCCTCCCCTCCCTCACCACTCTCCCAGCGCAGCTGCTTGTCTGGAGCCTCACCGCACGCTCCACTACATCCCAAAGGCCTGACTCTGTTGGTTTTTTCACTTGTGTGATTGAGGCTTTCCTGCTTTAAAGCTGGGGTACTTCACTTTATCTGTTTCATAAATAATGCATGAAGTTTGTCCAACAGAAAGTGTTTTGTCACATCAGACTGCAGCAGTTTGCATACTTGTAAAGAAGACCCCAGTGAGTCACTTTTTGACTCTTTGAGCTGAATGGCTGAGGGGGGTCCTTTCTGTCTGAAAAAGCTACTCTGTAGATGTGACAGAGGCCACAAATACATGATGTGAAAACCAGTGATAGAAGCAACTGTTTAAAAAGCCATGAACTATGGGTTTATTACAGAGTTGTTTTGTGGTCTGAAAGTTGCATACCCCACTTACAGAACTGTTTGAATTTTATTTTTTACTAGTACAGTTTTAGATCAACTTGGATGTGACCGCCCTCTCTCAGCTATCTCAGACTATCAGCTCTGTCCAAAGTCGTGCTGTGGTTGGATTTGGACAAATTTACATATCCCAGATCCCTCCATCAATTTTCTTCCCCTTAATCCATTTCTGGATCGGGGGTGGCAGCTAGAGCTGCACCCAATTCACAAAGCACAGATCCCTGTAGATTAAAAATTCTTGTGCATTATTCTACTTAATAACTTTTATAAAATAGAATGTGTTAATTATGTTTTTGACTTGAGTTTTGAACTATATCTTCTGAAATTAATGTGTCAGGTTTAAAATGTTGGCGTCAAAGGCACTGTATGAATGTGAGATCACTCTCTTTGCCATCTTAATTTGCACCTGTTGTGATTCAAACAGAGCTTTTTTTTCCACTTTTCCAAAGTCAAAAATTCAGATGTTGGTTGCATATGTGATCCGAGCCGACCAGGTCTCTTCTCTTCTGAAGTCTTTCAGAGGCTGAGGAAGTTCTATGGTCTCTCCAAAAGTCTCTCAGACTCTGTGTTCTGTGGTCTCTCTAAAGTCTCTCTGTGTTCTGTGGTCTCTCTAAAGTCTCTCTGTGTTCTGTGGTCTCTCTAAAGTCTCTCTGTGTTCTGTGGTCTCTCTAAAGTCTCTCAGACTCTGTGTTCTGTGGTCTCTCTAAAGTCTCTCTGTGTTCTGTGGTCTCTCTAAAGTCTATCAGACTCTGTGTTCTGTGGTCTCTCTAAAGTCTCTCAGACTCTGTGTTCTGTGGTCTCTCTAAAGTCTCTCAGACTCTGTGTTCTGTGGTCTCACTAAAGTCTCTCAGACTCTGTGTTCTGTGGTCTCTCTAAAGTCTCTCTGTGTTCTGTGGTCTCTCTAAAGTCTCTCAGACTCTGTGTTCTGTGGTCTCTCTAAAGTCTCTCAGACTCTGTGTTCTGTGGTCTCTCTAAAGTCTCTCTGTGTTCTGTGGTCTCTCTAAAGTCTCTCAGACTCTTTGTTCTGTGGTCTCTCTAAAGTCTCTCAGACTCTGTGTTCTGTGGTCTCACTAAAGTCTCTCAGACTCTGTGTTTTGTGGTCTCACTAAAGTCTCTCAGACTCTGTGTTCTGTGGTCTCTCTAAAGTCTCTCAGACTCTGTGTTTTGTGGTCTCACTAAAGTCTCTCAGACTCTGTGTTCTGTGGTCTCTCTAAAGTCTCTCAGACTCTGTGTTTTGTGGTCTCACTAAAGTCTCTCAGACTCTGTGTTCTGTGGTCTCTCTAAAGTCTCTCAGAGGCTGAGGCTGTTCAGTAGGGACGCCCCGCTCTTTGTGCTCGCTCTTCTGTGTCGCTTGGATCCTCTTTGTCCTCCTCTTTCAAGTCTCTTCACAAAGGAGCCACAACAGTCGATGAACTGCCTGACAGTGTATTAAACCTGATGAATCGACTGTGAGAGCCATAGATCATGTCCCCCTCACCCCAGCGCCCCACAGCCCCTACTGCCTGCCCCAGCCTGGAACAGGCCCCACTGAGTTTAGTTTAGTTTTTATTTAGTTTTTCAGAGCCGGAGCTTGTGTCTGAGAATCTTTAACGTTGGTCTTGGAGTATGTGTTCAGAGACACAGTTTGAGGAGACAACAAAGACGTGCAACACATTCTGTTTAGATTTAAAGGTGAAAATCAGAGCTGGGTTTGTTCAGATCTGATACAGTGAGACTGATGTTTCCAATGCTCATAAATATATTCCCCAGATGATCTTGACACTCACAGCTGCTTTGGTTTCTCTAACACTAATGCTAACTTCGCTCTGGGGTTCCTGCAGGTGTGGTTCAGCAACAGGCGTGCTCGGTGGCGCAAACAGGCAGGAGCCAATCAGCTCGCGGCATTCAACCACCTGCTTCCTGGAGGCTTCCCCCCAACCGGGATGCCCACCCTGCCGACCTACCAGCTCCCAGAGGCCAGCTACCCCGGCTCCACCCTCTCACAGGGTACGTGTGCATAATCACTGTACGATAGGCCTGGACTTCTCTGATCTCTAACCTATCTAACCCTTGACCTTTCTCTTCTCTCGCTGAACTCTGACCTCTCCGTATAACTTTTTGCTGACCTCTCTCTGACCTCTTTTTTCTCTCTCCTTTCTCTTCTCTCTGACCTCTCCCCTCTCACTGAGCACTCTCTTACCTCTCTGACCTCTCTCCTCTCACTGAGCTCTCTCTTACCTCTCTGACCTCTCTCCTCTCACTGAGCTCTCTCTTACCTCTCTGACCTCTCTCCTCTCACTGAGCTCTCTCTTACCTCTCTGACCTCTCTCCTCTCACTGAGCTCTCTCTTACCTCTCTCTTCTCACTGAGCTCTCTCTTAACTCTCTGACCTCTCTCTAACCCTTCCCCTCTCTGACCCACAGATGGGGGCAGTACTTTGCACCGACCTCAGCCTCTCCCTCCCTCCTCCATGCACCAGGGGGCGCTGAGTGCAGACAGCAGCTCTGCTTACGGCCTCACGTCCAACCGCCACAGCTTCTCCAGTTACTCGGATACTTTCATGACCCCCGCAACCTCAAGCCAGCACATGAACGCAGTCAGCAACGGCCTCTCGCCTCAGGTCAGTCCTGACACTTGACCTCTGACCATGACCCTGGGCCTAAGGTCAGTCATGACCCTTGCCCACTGGCTCTGACCCTGAACCTGACAGTTTCCTCAGGTCAGTCCTCACTCCTGACCCCTGACCATCGTCCTTAACACTAACCTTAACCCTGACCCTGACAGGGAGTGTGCTAGTGTGCATCAGCGAATAGAGACAGATGCACTTTTGCACAGTGTCCTCTATGAGTGATGAGGTCACAGGTCGTCTCCATTCTCTCCATAAACAGTGTCTTTGGTCAGATTCACTTATTATCACTCTGCTGAAGACCACATTCTCAACTCACTCTTCCAAATATTAATTTCAGAGCCACATTTGCACTTTTCCTGATGTGTCAGAAATGAAAAAGTTAAAACTATGGAGAGGAACAGATACATGTTTCACACAAGTCGGGTCTGTGGAGGGGCAAGCTCATGCGTTTGGAGACATGTTTCTGGCTTTTAAACACGCAGAAGGTGATCAATTTTATAATCAACAGTGTGTCTGCACTTTTTCTCAAACAGCTGAGGAAAACACAGACAGTGCCTTTAATCTTCTTTGTCCTGATGATACTGAGTCTGGGTGCAGTCTTAAAGCTCGGCTACATGACTTCAGCCTCATATAAAACACATGTAGTTTGTCCAGAAAGAGTTTTGTCAAAGTCAGATTTTATGAACATGCTTCTTATGACAAAACATACTCTTTTGCGTAAGAAGGAGCCTAGTGAGTCACTTTTTGACTGTTTGGACTGAGAGATGATTGGCTGAGTGAGGGTGGTTCTCTCTTTTTTATTTTTCTGTCAGTAAAAGCCGATGCTAAGATGTGACAGAGTGGAGGGGAGAGAGAGGAGAGAGAGAGGAGAGAGAGAGGCGAGGAGAGAGAGCTCAGTGTGTGTTTTATAATATAATATGTTCATAAATGTTTCCTGCGTAGACTTTAGAACAGTGGCAGTTCGTCGTCACCACTATCTAATTATATTATTATTATCATTATATTGTTATATTCCCATTTCACTCCCTGTGAATTGTCTTTGATTGAAATTGAAAATGGCAAAGAACCCTGTTGGGCAGAAGAACCTCTTTCATGTTCTGAGCCATGGATTATTTGAGCTTTTGGAAATTGCTACATTTTTAAAACAATTGGATTAAAATCAAGAAATTAAAAACCATCTGATAATTTGTGGAACTCTGGGATTTCTTTGTAAATCCTCCGTCAGTTGGACACACACAGACAAATCATTAACTCGATTTTACATGTAGACGTGTAATCTGTAAATGTGAGGAGCAGGGGGAGAAGCAGCAGGAGGAGAAGCAGGAGGAGGTGTGAGGAGGAGGAGCTGGAGGAGTTGTGAGAAGCTTGTAGCTCTACCCACAGCTCCTGCAGCCCCATTCACAGATCAATTAACCCCGCCCACAGGCCTTTAGCTCCGCCCACAGATCGATGCTGTGAAGAGGTGAAAGCGAAATAAATGCTGCGTTTGTGATTCCTGTCGCTCACATCTTTAATGCAGAGGTTTATTTCTTCAAATGTTCCTAAAGCAGATTGGAACAGTCTTTGGTTTTAACCTTTTTCTTTAGAGAAGAAAGAATTAAGGATTTCACCACAAAAAAGAGATTTCCCGCGGTGCAGGCGCAGGATAACACGCAGCTCACAGCACGGCTGATTGATAATCGCGACGCAGGCTTTAGCGGCTAATGCCGTTGCTGCTCTCCCTGGTCTCTCTTTGGTATCGCCCTTGTCTCTCTCTCTAGTCTCTCTCTGGTACCGTCAACTGGCCCAAACAACACGCCGACTTTTCCAGCTAGAAAAGCCTCCAGTTTATACACGTTCATTCTGAGGTCGTGATCGGTGAGAGTGTGTGTGTGTGTTTGTTTGTGTGTGTGTGTGTGTGTGTGTGAGACAGCAGGACAGTAATAGAATCCTGTGGAGCCTGAGTCCTTCCCCTTCCCATCATCCTGACATCTCAGGTTCCTATTACAGCTTTTGCTTGGGGCCAGTGGTGCGAGACAACACTGCAAAAACAGGACCATCAAAACTGAAAAATGTCAAATATCTTTAGACTTTCAGGAGATAAAGGAACAGTGGTGATGTCACTGGAAATCACACACACCACACACACACACACACAGGGGAAAGTGGGCTTCGTCACTGGGCTTCTTTCGTTTAACAGCACAGCAGGTGTTGGGCAGACAGAGAAGGGAGGGGCATAGAGAGCAGTGGGGGGGACCGCTGTTTGGGATTCTCTCAGTGCTCTTAAAGAGACAGTACCTGATATTACACAGCTGATTCTAATGCCCTGTTTACACAGAGGCGCTGGGACTGTAAAACGATAGGGTTGAATTGCGGATTGGCCTTTCCTTCACTTAGCGTCAGGGTTTCACGGGGGTGAAAAGGCAAGCTTTGAAAAACGGCTTCCAGAGTAGAACAAAACGGTGCGGCGGGGAGCCGTATGGCAGGCGTGTGAAGGAAAAGGTGCAAACTCTCCGACCTTACGACTTCACCCTGATACATTTTGGCCCTGTTTAGACTCGCAAAAACAACACCACATCGGATTCAAAGTGCTAAGTCTACACGCTGTAGTGGACAGTTTTACCAGTTCCTCAACTAGTAGAGTTGCTCCTCCTTGTAACGCTCGTGTTTAACCAACAGTTGTTTGAGTTTGTAAATACTGCAAACATACAAACACACCTTGGTGATTGCATCACATCCTCGACAGAGTGATAATATTAATTTACGGCATCATTTTTATTTGTAGTGATTTCATTAAGGCACAGCATTCCTTTCGGTCTGGTTTTTTTTGGTGAAACTTAAGGTGACGACAAGCATTAAATCACTACTTTTACAAAAAGCCTAAAATATAATCCCCAAATGTCTCTGGGTAAACTGCTGCTACAGCTCTGTAATTGTACAAAATAGCAGCATTATTCGTAATAACGTATTTAGCGCCAAGTGAGTCTGCTCTTTAAAGCTGGAGTACCTATCTTTCTATACAGTCCATGTCTCAAGTTCCTGGCTCTTCACTTCATGTATTTCTGGCCTCTGTCACATCTTTAGATCAGCTTTTTAAGACAGAAAAAACTCAGCAAATCAGCTCTCAGCCAAAAGAGTCAAATAGTGACTCTCACACAGAAGTTGTTTTATTAAAAAGATGTTTATACACATGTAGTGACCCTCACTTACCACTCTCTCTGGGACAAACATCACATTTTAATTATTATTTTAGAGCACACTCCTCAAAGACCTGCTGTGAAGTTGTGTGTGTGTGTGTGCTGTGTCGCAGTGGAGTGTTGTGTGTAGGGTTGTGTCGCAGTGGAGTGTTGTGTGTAGAGTTGTGTCGCAGTGGAGTGTTGTGTGTAAAGTTGTGTCGCAGTGTTGTGTGTAGAGTTGTGTCGCAGTGGAGTGTTGTATGTAAAGTTGTGTCGCAGTGTTGTGTGTAGAGTTGTGTTGCAGTAGAGTGTTGTGTGCTGGAATGACACGGTGTGCGCCGCGGCCGCTGGGCTGAGTGGGCCGCTCTCTCGGAGGATCAGAGCTCTCACCCCGCTGTCTTTGAAGTGTGTCCCGAGGCCTGGACCCACGCTCCGCTGCAGCACCACGCACTCACACTCGCACTCGCACCAGCGACTCCCCGCGACTGTCTGACAGAGATAAGCCAGGGGAGACTCTGCGCACCGCCGCAGCGCCATTAGCCCGCGCAAGACGCTGCTTTTAAAAACGGATGAATTATTTTTAAGAAGCCAGCTCTGTCGTGTGCCAAAAATGGGGAAAGTATAGGGAACAATCTGGATTCCGCCTCCCTCCCTGACTTCTAACAAGACTGCTGCACCTGAATACCAATGAGAGGGGGCGCTTGTAGTCCCCCACTTTATTAAAAGTTCGCATTAAGCCGCTCGGGCACAGTGTCAGCTGGCAGCTTCCTCTGACACCAATCAGAGAGGATGAGCATTCACCGCCGCGCTCCAGAGCAAGAGGGGGAATACATACTGCTTAATTAGAACTCCCATTAAAACAAATACTGTTTCAATTTGGCAAGAATAAAAAAAGATGTAAGAGGCTTTGAGGAAACAGAGACCTGCTGTCGACAGCTGCCAAGAAACGCGGCGACTGTAAATCATGTCCACTGGCGATACTGCTGCTGCTGATTACTACTCCTGCTGTTTCGCAACATTTCTGAACTCTGAGGAAATATTCTGAATTTGTTACACAGTGAGTCCTGCTCTATAGCTGACTCCGTAGACTGTGAGAGGGCAGTGCAAACAGAGGACTCTAAAGACCAATGGGATGTGAACCAAGTGCTCTCCAGCGTTTAGCTCCAGTCACTTACTCCTCTCCCTCCGTCTCTGTGTGTCACTCTCACCATTGTGGTGACAGATGAGAGGTACATGGCTCTGTATGATCCAGGGGTTTATTTCGGGCTTTGTAAATCCACACATGAGCCACAACAAATCACCATCAGGTGCCTTCTAAAGCTGCAGTAGAAGAGTACACCAGCTGGAACCAGCAGCGCCGCTCCTGATTGGCTCTTTGGTCGCCAGGTTGTTGCCATCCGTGAATTTGGCTCCAAATCTGAGCTAATCGGCTTCCTCTGCATTCGGCTAAAACTATGGTGATGTCAGCATAGGCTATTCCATTCCCCACAGTCAGTGGTGACCCTAGTGTGTATGTGTGACCCCACCCAGTTTGTATGTGTGACGCCAGTGTGTATGTGTCACCTCAGTGTGTAAGTGTGACCCCAGTCTACTGCCTTATCTAGTACAGAGTAAATGCAGACAGTGCATACAGGGTGTACAGTATATGTCTCTGAGGTGTTGTGGCTCACAATCACTCATTAACGCTTTACACCAGGGACAGTTGTTGCCGTTTCTGCAGAATCCAGCTGAAGCCATTTTCTTATTCATTCCAAAATATTTTTGGTTGAAGCGCTTTGTGTATTCATAATCTATTTTTCACCTCCCAACCTTCCTTTCCTCCATTTGGCTCATTCT